AGGCGATGAAAAGGTGGCAGGTAAGGCTATGCCCGACTCTAGGGGATGGACGGGTAGAATGGCTAGAGCCAGCTTGTGGGTTTACCGTACCCAAGATGTTTGACTTGGTGTTTGGTTGCGTGTGTGCGTCCTGTCCAACTCTGGAGTACGTGCGTTATCTATGGGCAAGGGGAACTCAACTTCATTTACACTGTTATAGGGATCCGACTGGCCATGGGTAGGTTCTTAGAACCCGCGTGTGGCTGGGACAGGCTCTCTTTGCATTCCTGTTCTTATTGATAAGGTCGTAGTAAAGGAGGCTGTGCATCTCAGTGCACCAGAGCCAGCGACAGGAAATTTTAAGCCACTTTAAGAGATCCAGGAAGGAAGAATTTCTAGAGAAAGTGCTATGCTTTCTTAGGATATTCTCACTGCTGTAATCTGGAATAAGTGCTGTCACTAGTATGCATATGAAGTAACCGAAGACGAAAGAGGTGAAATTCCTTGCCTTTATTCACACAGCCTAGCAAGTAGAAAAGCGAGATTCAAACCTGGACGAGTTTTCTTCAGATTTCATTTTTTTGTTTAACAACATAGCTCTCCTGCATTACCCAAAGAATTGAGTGTATTCTATTTTTTAAATACTTGAGTAATGAATATTGAATGAATTTCACTTTATGGTCATCTTTTTGGGTCTCTTGTATCTGCAAATCTTCCCATGAAAACAGTGTAAATGAAGTTGAGTTCCCCTTGCCCATAGATAATGCACATACACAGGGAAACAGCTTTGAACTCTAAACTGAATCACCAGCTTTAAAATGGATAGGTGGGCAGACAGAAAACCTTCTCAAGAAAGCTTAACCTTTCCCAACCTAGTTGTTCCAGCTACTTGGGAGGCTAAGCTTGAGCCCAGGAATTCGAGACTAACCTTGGCAACATAGACAACCCCCCAACTCTTAAAAAAGAAAGGAATTAAAACCTAATTTGAGTTTTTTTTGTGTGTTGTGTATGGTGCTGGGGATGGCGATTGAAGCCAGGGCCTTGAGTATGCAAGGCAAGCACTCTACCAACTGAGCTATATCCCCAACTGGACTGAGCTATATCCCAGCCCGAGATTATTTTATCCCAGCTTCAAAGCAGAGATCAGAGAATCACAGGAAGGAATCATTTCTAGCATTTCTAGACCTACTGAGCTTCAGAAACCAAGGCCTTTGTTTGGTTTTTTAACTTATATTTCCTTGGGATAAATTTCTGGGCGCAAACAAAAAAAGACACTGATTGGAAGTTTCACAAGTTGGTGTTAGACCATCAGGATAAAGATGTACAACATCCTTATCTAAGCCCCATATATTCATAATAGAATCACAAGTAGAATACCATGCTTATGAAATGTTGACTTGTTAGAAATGTTATTTTCTGAATAGGTGGCATTTTCTGAGGCTTCAGTGTAGGTACTTATTATCTGGTAAAGGAGGATTCTATATTACATTCTTTGTGTCTAATGTCTTCCTATTCTCATTTCTACTTTCATAGGTTTCCTCTAAGAGCTGCAGAAAAATGATCAATTTACAGGTAAGACATCCATATATTCACTGAATCATTCAAGTCCAAAATCCATATGATTAAAAAAAATGGTCAAAAAATGTAGATTGAATAGAAGATCAGGTCCAAATGGAAATTTAGAAAATTAGTAAGTTGATGTCCATGTCATGGGGTCTGCATATAGTTGGAATAAATTTGAGCTACAAAATATATACTCAGTCTTCTTGGAAATCATATTAAATGGGTTATCAACTAGTTAAAGTGTTAGCATTGTTTGTGAAGATAAAACAAAATAATTCCCCAGATAAGTTTTTTCCCCCTTGGGCTAGATCTTTTTTAACTATAAATTGGCTATTCTGGTATATAGAAAAGTATGGATCACACATTATTTTGGCTTTATAGTTAAGAGGATATATTATATCGTGTTAAAAAAAAAAAACACCTTGTGATCCTATTTTAAAATGCTTATATAAGGGGTTAGGGTTGTGGCTCAGCAGTAGAGTACCTGCCTAGTCTGAGCGAGGCCCTGGGTTCGATCCTCAGCACCACATATAAATAAATAAAATAGATGTATTGTGTCCAACTACAACTAAAAAATAAATATTTTTAAAAAATGCTTATGTAAGCCAGGTGTGTAAACCTTATCACTTCAGTAACATTGCAGATATTTACTGCCGGATTTCAGTTCTCGAAACAAAAAGGCTCAGGGGTCACTCCAGATAAACTGAGCTAACTGGGCTGCACGAAATAACAACACAAGAAACACAAATACCTTTTTCTTTGGGGTTGCTGTGACGGCTCCTCTGACCTTAAGGGTCTGCAGAAAGAGAGAGAGAGCGAGAGCACGCGCTGACCCCTTTTATTGAGGAGAAGCTATTCAAATGAGGCAAGGGGTCAGGTTTCAGGGGGCTGAGTATCTTCATGATGTCCACTTTCAGCAGGTTGACTGACACCTGGGTAGGCCACACTCAAGGGCACAGTAAGAGAAGGGGACACACACAAGGCATTTCCATGGAAGATTTTATCCTAAACAGGGCAAGGGATTATATTACAAAGGAACAGGTGAGGGTAGCTTCACCCGTGGGGCTGTAGCAAGATACACCCATGCACGAGACACCGACCACATTTCTGTGACTGAGCGCCTCAGCACCCAGCCCAGGAGTGTGACCCAGTCCATGTAAGGTTGATCTCCCACAATTTACTTTGTAGAGTCTGATACTTTGTAAGATCCCTCAGGGGAGCAATCATATTTTTCCTTTTGAAATCATTATTAGTACAGGGTCTTGTAGGTCCTCATAAGATATTCTATGAGTGAATTACTAAGGAATATATAAGTGATATTCTAAAATAGTTTTATTGAAATGAAATTCACATATCACAACAGTGACTTAATTCAAGGTGTCAGTTGAGTGGTTTTTATTATAGTCACAGCATTGTACAGCCATTGCCACTGTAATTTTATAACATTTCATCATTCCAGGAAAAAAAGGAATTCCAGATACCCATTAGCAATTACTCCCTATTCCTCCCTAATCTGCTTTCTGTTTATATGGCTTTTCTATTCTGAACTTTTCATATAAATGAAGTCATACAATATGTGATTTTTTTTGCAACTAGTTTCTTTCACCCAGTACAGTATTTTCAAGGTTCATCCCCATTGTAGATATATCAGTGCCTCATTCCTTTTTAATGCTGAATAATATTTCATCCTGTGGATATATCACATTTTGTTTATCCATTTGTCATGTCATGGACATCAGATTGTTTCCACATTTTGGCTGCTGTGAATAATTCTGCCACAAACATTTGTGTATAAATTTTTACAGATACATGCATTTTGATTCTATTGGATATATACTTAGGAGTGGAATTCCTAGTCATATGTTTAACATTTTGAGAAACCGCCAAACTGTCTTCCATAGTTGCTACACTATTTTGGAATCCCACCAGAAATGTATGAGTTCCTCTTTCTCAATGTGCTTGCTAACACTTGTAATTGTCTGCCTTTTATTTTAGCCACCGTCATGGGTGTGCTGTGGTACCTTATTGTGGCTTTGATTTGCATTTCACTAATGAATAATGATATTTATCATTATTTCATGTGCTTATTGACCTTTCTCGTATATATATATATATATAAAACAATCTGGTGTCCATGAACTGACAAATGGATAAACAAAGTGTAATATAGTCACAAGATGAACTATTATTCAGTACTAAAAAATGGAATGAAGTACTGATATATTTACAACAGAAATCAACCTTGAAAATATTGTACTGTAGTACAAGATCTATACACACATGCATATATCACTTCAGGCATTGCAGTTGTTTACTTTGTAAAGTCTAATATATATATAAATAAATCTGGAGAAATGTCTGTTTAAATCCTTTGCTGATTTTTAAATTAAGTTGTCTTTTCTTGAATTTTAAGAGTGCTTTATTCTGATATAGGTCTATTGTCATATATATGATCTGTAAATATTTTCTCCTAGTCTGTGAATTTTTCTTTTCTTTTTTGGTACTAGGGATTGAACCAAAGGGTGCTTTACCAGTAAGGTACATTCCAAACCTTTTTATTTTTTACTTTGAGACAGGCTCTCACTAAGTTGCTTAGGACCTCAATAAATTGCTGAGGCTAACCTTGAACTTGTGATCCTTCTATCTTTCTGCCTTAGCCTCCTGAGTAGCTGGGATTATAGGCATGCATCACCACACCCAGGTTTACTTATTTTATTGTGTTCTATGAAGCACAAAGTTTTTTTAGGTTGTTTGTGTGTGTGTGGTGCTGGGGATGGAACCCAGGGCCTTGTGCATGTGAGGCAAGCACTCTACCAACTGAGCTATATCCCCAGTTTTTTAGTTTTGATGAATTCAAATTGATTTTATCCTTTGTCCCTTATACTTTTCTGTCATATTTAAGAAGCCATTGCCTGGGGGCTGGGTTGTAACTCAGTGGTTGAGCACTTGCCTAGCACATCTGAGACACTGGGTTTTATCATCAGTACCACGTAAAATTAAATAAAATGAAGGTATTGTGTCCATCTACAACTTAAAAAAGAAGAAGAAGAAGAAGAAGGAGGAGGAGGAGGAGGAGGGGGAGGGGGAGGGGGAGGGGGAAGGGGAGGAGGAGGAGGAGGAGGAGGAGGAGGAGAAGCCACTGCCAAAGATTTTCTCCTGTGTCTTTTTCCTAAGAGTCTAACAGTTTTAGTCCTGACATGTAGGTCCTTAGTCCATTTTATTTCATATTTTGTCTGTTTTATGAGGTGGGTGGGAGATCAACTTTATTCTTCTGTGTGGGGGAATCTAATTGTCTCAGCACCATTTTCTTTCCCTTGTTGAATTTTTCTGGCACTAGTTGGACTTTTTAATACGATTTTTATTGCTATTGCAAAGTTTATTTCTGAATCAAGTGTCTAGAAGTTACTGTACATAACTTTCTACACACTCAACAGTCAAGGTGATATTAAGAGATTATCATGATTCTCTTGCAAGTCCCTAATAATGTACACACTAGTTTGAAGAAGAATGTGCTATTACAGGAATCAGTGACATTCCAGGATGTGGCTGTGGACTTCATTTCAGAGGAGTGGCAGTGCTGATTGTGATCAGAGATCCCTGTATTGGGATGTGATGTTGGAGAACTATAAAAACCTCATCTCAGTGGGTAAGGACAGAGGGTGGTAACTGTGTAACTTGGAATGTACCAATATAGTGCACTCCCTTAAAGACATGTGAGAGCTGGGAACATTCTGAAGCATTAATAAAATTGGCCCTGTACTTCCGCGTTCAGTTTGTTCTAAAGCCTACTTGTCATCCTTTAAATGCCAGTTCTAAGTTCTGAGATAGCTGTTTGTCCCCAGTACTTTGTCCCCGCTTGTGTGTTGCTTTCCCATGAACAGCGTGTATTAAGTACCAAAACAAAAGTGATCCTCATGGTGAATCGAGGACAAAAGCTATGGTTTGTAGAAGGAAAGAACCTACATTGCAGCCGTCCAGGTGAGTGAGAGAAAATCAGATGGGAACTGAGATCCCATTTGGTCAGTGAAGGACAGGCACCTTTGAATGCTTTTTAGAAAGCACCTCTTAAAAGTCACACACTGTTGGAAGTGAGTGGGTACTCCTGTAATCATCAGCTTTCCAAAGGGTGCCCATGTGTCTCTGCTCTTGCTCTGCTGCCATGTGGAGGTGCTCTCTCCTTCCTGTGGTTCCTCACACTGCCTGTTCTTACAGATCCTTGCTTTGATTCTTTTCTTTTAATTCCTGAAACCCTCATTTTTCTTCCCTTCTCAACATTATTGCAGATCTTTTTCTATGTAGTTAGTCCTTAGAATGTTGTCAGGTTGTATGGGTTTGAAACCTTACTGGACTAGTCATTGTATAAACTTAGGAAAATTACTTTGTAGCATAATTTTTTAATTTATAAAATAATGATATTAATTCTTAGCTCAGATTCCTGTAAAGATTATATGAACTAATACCTATAAAACACTTTAAATGGTTGGCTGGCAGATAATAAGTCTTCAGTACATGTTAGTTTAAAAAAAAAATTTTTTTGGTAACATTATGCTCTCAATTATTTTCCTTTTTTAAAAAGTTTCTTTTCTCCCGTCATATATGCCACTGTTTTAATTCAGGGTCCTTGAGATGGAGAGTACCCCTTCAACAATTATGACATATAAGATGGAAATCTTCTATTGCTTATGGGTCCTGGTGTGTGTGTGGCAGGGGGAGGTGCTCAGCATGACCAGAGGCCACACACATATTGGTCAGGCATGAAGGCAGGGAGAGAGAAGGGACCTATGGGCCAGTGCTTTCATTGGGGCCAGGGTGTTATCCAAATAAGTTTTCCAGGGGAAGTTTTGGTTGGTAGGTTTAAAGCAAGCAGACACAATTTCCAAGAGACCACATTGTTGCTGAGAGGTGGTTATTATGACATAGTTGCACAGTCCACACAGGGTGTGAAGGTCAGCAGAGCCAATCAGGTATACTGTATCTATCTGTCCCCCAGAGAAGTGGTCACCAGGAAGCAGTTGTATAAGGTGGAAATCCAGTTGACTACACTATTTCTGGTATAAGAAAGTTAAACTTTATGCAACATGGAAGCTGAGACAACATAAAATTATAAGAATTTATTTCACTCACCTTACCCATCTTTAGTCTCTCTGATAATGTGGGGATATCTATTTTCTAGTGCATCTTTTTTCTTCACTTGATAATACTAATATCTTTTTGAAATTCACTTTCCACTCAAGTTTACTTGTTTCCTAGCTGACCTGCTTTACCCATTTTAGTATTTATTCATCTCTTGCTTCTTGCCCTTCTTCTCCACCTCTCTCCACAATTAACTCCTGCCGCAGTCTGGCTGGTCACAATTCAGGAGCCACTTGTCAAAAGAAACGAACTTTATTTTTAGAACCACTCTGGCCAAACAAAACAGCTCCTCAGGAAAAACCCTCAGAGCCCAACTGCCACCACGGGCTTCCCACAAGCCTCTCCCCCGCAAACCACCAGCCTCTCCACCTCCCCCAGTCCTCCTGCTCTTGAGGCCGATTGGCTGGGTCGCATGGGCGGAGCCAAAAAAGTCCCCCAATGAGCAGCTCCGTGGTCTGAAAGGGCAGGGAAACAGCCCAATGAGCATCACCGCAGAGGAGCCAAKCAGCTAGAAGTTGCTGGGGCCGCTGTGAGCCAATCATCAGCTGGCAGTCTGAAAGTTTGCTGGGGCCCCTTCGGCTGTGGCTCTCTACATCTCCCCCTCTCTGTTTAAACAACAAGCATGTGGCTTAGGGACTGTGCCTGCCTTAGGTTGTCCAGTAGTACATATGGTCCTTACCCGTTATCGGATGAGCTGACCTCAAGGCGTCAGCCTCCTGTCTTAGGTTGGTACCATTGCAATTGGATCTTACCCGTCACTGACTACCGGTCCAGTATACAGCCACTCCTGAGCCACATCCCCAGCCTTTTTTTATATTTTATTTAATTTAGAGACAAGTTCTTACTAAGTTGCTAGGGCCTTGCTAAGTTGCTGAGGCTAGCTTTGAACTCATGATCCTCCTGCCTCAGCCTCCCAAACTGCTGGGATTACAGGTGTGTGCCACCCCTTGTGGCTTTTTTTTTTAAGTTGGACACAATACCTTTATTTTTTATTTATTTCTTTTTGTAGTGCTGAGGATCAAACCCAGGGCTTCACACTTGCTAAGTGAGTGCTCTACCTCTGAGTCACAACCCCAGCCCCCCTTGTGGCTTTTAAGGCATGATTTTTCATGATAATGCTATAAAGAAAAAGAGCTATTACATTCCTTTTTCCCTTTAATGAACATTTCATTAATTCACTGTTGTAGAGCCAGGCATTGTGGGGCATGTTTCTTCTTGGTGTTCTATTCAGCAAACTTTTTAAAATGTTTTTTGAGAAGGACTCAAAGAAAGCAAAGAATCCATTACCATTTTTTAAGTATATAAATGGTAATTGGAACAGCAAAACATAGTCATATGAAAACATTTTCAAATTTGACAAGTGAATGTGAAACATTTGTTGAGTACACATTAACACTGCAGTTTTATTTTTGTTAATTATTAAGGTCATTAGTGCAGCAGTGACTCTCTTAGACATCCAAAGAAAATGGAACTTAAAGTTTAAAATATACAAAGACTGGAGAAGTCTCCTTTTGTGATTATGGAACAGTAGTTCTTCCCTGAAGAATATCTAAGTTCTAGATATAATAAAAGGAGAGGAGAGAGGGCAAGTAGGTGAGGAAGGAACATGAGCAAAAGGTTCTAGTCATAGACTCAACTTAATGAATTTTGAATTTACAGTGGTGCCAAAGTGATACACATTTAGTAGAAACTATACTTAAAATTTTGTCTTTTCCTGGGCCAGTTATGTGTGGTACTCTGTCAAGGTGCTGGACAGCAATAGTGAGCCACAGTTCCCAACTAGCCACATGATCACGAGGGTAAATGACCAGTACTCTACAGTGTACTGTGTTGCTAAGTTAGCGTGTTTGGTAGGTGTGTTAAATGCATTTTCACCTTCATAATATTTTCAGTTTACTATGGTTTTATTAGGATATAACCCCTTCCCCTCATTGTAAGTTTAAGAGTATCTGTGTTTAGGAATCCAGACTCAATGGAATAGAAGATCCTTGAGGACTAGTAAAATGTGTGCTTAGATCCCACCAGTGAATTCTTATCTTGCATAGTAAGATTGTTTACCAGGTTGATTACACTGAGTATTTTAGTTGGTTATTTTTTATAGAGGTAGCCTAGGATGCTGTTTCCCATTGGTTTAAGTAGAAAGAAAAGAAAAGGAACCAAATCCCCATTACTCCACAATGAAGTGTGTACCAGTGGCTGTAGCCCTTCACCTAGTCCAGCTCCACATATCATTATGATATGAACACAGAGGTTAAGGCACAGAGCAAGAAGTTAGAGGTGTTATACTACACTAACAGTCCACTGAAAGGAAACTCCAGAGTGGGAATTAGTTCACTCTTCTCAGTTTTTTTTTTTAATGGAACATCAGATTTGGGATTTATAGGTTTTTAAGGGTAGAAGTGAGAAAATGTGACTCATGAGAGTAAAGTGCTTTCAGAAGACTAGTTGGTTAAGCAGATTGAAAGAGGATCGAAAACAGTCCTTTTCCAGTACAAATATGACCGATACTTGTCATATATAAAAATGACAGAAAGTAGAATCTATGGCTGGGCTATGGATGACTTGTTTATGGATGGCCTGCTGGACATTTGTACTCCTAGGCTTACAGGTACATGTAAGATGAGTCCCAGTCAGAGGTAGATTTGAAACCCTGTCTACAGGAGTGCTTCAGCTATGGCTTAGATGGAGCTAGAGGCCTGAGATAGAAGAATATCTCTAAAGGAAATTGACCTTGTGCCAGATGATTAAGAGAAAAAAGAGATGTAAAAGGGAAATAGGGAACTATCCTATCAGGGCAATCAAAGAATTAGGTAGAGAGCACACTGCTGTCTTATCTGCCTCTTCCAAACCTAGTCTGTTCTCTGATATTTTCCCTTAACACTCTTGTCTGCTAGTGGCCTTGTGACCCTATCCGTTAATCAGAGCTCCCCAGTGGAGTCTCCCCATTCTGTGACCTAACCCTGAACCCTTGTCCAACAGCCTTTTGATTTCCTTTGTACTCTGCTTGTTCCTTATGCCCATTTTACTATCTTTCCACAGGTCACAAGGTAAGCCATCTGTTCCCAATTTCTTTATTATCAGTTTTATTCTTAAAGCTCAGGAAGAGCAAGGCAGAATGAGAGACTAGATTTGAAACTATAGATGCTTCTCTCTATAACATGTTGGAGGGAGAAAATAAGTAGGAGTATTTTACTCTCCTCCTTTTTAGAAGCTGACTGCCCATTTGATGAACCAGAGAAGTATCAGGACAGCAAGGACAATTTTTTGAAGTCAGTTTTGTTCACGTTCAGTAAAATTCTGACTATGGAGAGACTCTACCATTATGTTATGAATACAAATCTTAATCTTAAAAGAATAAAATCATATAAAAGTAAAATGTATGAGAAGAGCTTACAACCTGATTTAGACTTATTTAATTACAATAGAAGATATACTAGAGAAAACTCTTATGAATTCAGTAAATGTAGAAAAATCTTCAAAAAGAAGTTTCATTTCATTAGGCATGAAAAAAATCCTACAAGAAAAACCCCTTTAAGTACAACACCTGTGGGAAAGCCTATAGCAGTAAGGCACACCTTGCAACGCATGAGAAAATTCATAATGGAGAGAGACCCTTTGTGTGCAGTGACTGTGGGAATGCTTTAGTACGTGAAGCCCAACTCATGGTCCACAGGAGACTTCACACCGGAGAGAAACCTTATGAGTGCAGTCAGTGTGGGAAAATGTTTATGTGGAGCTCCTCCTTCAATCAACATGTGAAATCGAATACGTTTAAGTACTCTTTTGAATGTAAGGAATGTGGGAAAATCTTCAGGTATAGCTCATCCCTTCATAAACATTCTAGGTTTCATACAGGAGAGAAACTGTACCAATGTATCATGTGTGGCAAAGCTTTTGGCAACACATCTGTGCTTGTTACACATCAAAGAATTCATACAGGAGAGAAACCTTATGGATGTGTTGAATGTGGCAAAGCCTTCTTCAAGAAATCTCATCTCCTTAGACACCAGATAACTCACACAGGAGAGAAGCCCTATGAATGTAACAAATGTGGGAAAGCATTTTCCCAGAAGTCAAATCTTCTTGTACATCAGAAAATCCATACATAACATTCACTTTATAAATATGAGGAATACTTAAATATTAGATAAATCTTAGTAAACAGCAGAGAATTCATGGTAAGAAGTCCTCAGTTTGAATGAATGCTAAAGAGTAGGTTCCCATAGAAAATAATCAGTACCATACATACTTTGGCAGTGATAATACTTTTTTTTTCAAAACAAAAATCACAAAAAGGATTGAATTGCACATAATAGAGCACAGATCTTGAAAAATAAAAAGTATCCAGGAATCAATGAAAATTGCATTTACCATTTCTGATTTTTAATTTTTATAACAAATAATATAATTTTGCAAGTGGGAGTTTAAAATATATACTTACATATTAATTTGTTTCCATTACAAATTTTTCTATAACAATGGCACAGTGGCACCTGTGGTTCCAGCACTTGGGAGGCTGAGGTGGGAGGACTAGAGAAGGCAACACAGTGAGACTCTATTGCAAAAAGAAGTTTAAATAAAATCATGATTTTTTTCCAATCCCAATGACATGTGCATAATCAATCAACTGGGAAACAGTATTATAATATGTAGTATGAATTTCAGCAATATTTCCATCCATTTACTGGCACTTTTTTTTTATTCCATTATTGGAAACTGAACCCAGGGCCTTGTAAGCACTAGGTAGACACTCTACCACTGAACTAAATCCTGAGTCGTTTTTAAAATTTTTTATTTTGAAGCAGTGTCTTGCTCAGTTGCCCCGCCTGGCTTCAAACTTTCGATTCTCTTCCCTTAGCTTCAAGGAGTAGCTGGGATCGCAGGATTGTGCCACTTCACCTGGCATTTGCTGGCACTTTTAATGGACATGGCAGTGTTACTGAATTTCCCTTTGGTTAATTATAGAAGTGAAGACTTCTTATGAAGATGTTTTCCTATTTATGTGAACATCAAAACAAAAAATAACATTTAATATGGTACTAATTGAAGAGAAAAACAGCACTGATGGTCTGTATTACAATAAGTTTCCAGTTCAGAAAAAGAAATATTTAAGTATGTAAATAAAACATTTGTACTTCAAATCTCTCTCCTTTTTCTTTGGTATATTTTATAAGCTCAAAGAGCTTTAACTTGGAGTATCATCTGTATTTAATTATTTTTAAAAATTTTTAGTTGTAGATGGATACATACTCTTATATATCTATTTTTTTCCCAAGCCAAACTGTATCCAGCTTTATGAAAGATACCTGTCATAAACAATCATGGTATTTCAGGCAGGACATGGGCAGACAATTGTTAACAGTATACAACAACTTTCAAACTCCCTTCTTGGATGGACTCCCCAAATCAGAAAGCCAGCATAAAACCCAATGAAGTCTTCCTTTGATGCTCTGAATAGGGAGAGTTTAGAGTAAGGGTTGACATTTCACATTTAGTATGTTGTTTAATAATTGTTCCATGAGCTGGCCCTGACTTTCAGAAAATGAAATGAAAATGGCAAAATTTGAAGATCCACAATTTAGAAAGGAACTGCTGCTCTATATCTCAGTGATGTCATTGGAAAGTCCAGATTGCCCCAAACACTGGTAAAACCAATTGTTGGGTGTCAGGTCCCAACAGGTCTGAGTTTAGGGGAATTAAGTCTGTGCTGATGGCAGAGAGGGAGAGGAGGCATTTATGCCAAGGTGGCTATGTGTACCAACGTCAGGGAATACCTCCTTGTGAGAGCCAAAAGGAAGTCTCTCAAAACTGTCAGAGAAAGGTGTTCTCCCCAACAGCAATCCAGCTTTGGAGACATTCTGCTAGTGACGTATGCTTCTTCCCACCAAAACAACAATGAAGTGTTCTGTGTGCTAACAACATAGCTTTAAAAAAATTTCTGCATTTTTATAAAACTTGATAAAAAATAGTATTTGAAACTGTACCAGAAGTATACAGTTACAAAAAATGCACACACTTCCTTGGCACCTCCAGCACCTTCAGCTTCTGTGCTTGGTCTGTTTTGGCATCTCCATTTTCTGCAGGGTTATTGTCCTTGCCATCATCAGTTTTTCTCTTTTTACCTTTGGGTACCTTCTCTCCCTTCTGTGCAGGATCCTTTTTAGGCTTGGGCTCTGGCTTTGGAGGAGTAGGTTTAGCAGACAACCTTGAAGATCTTTTCTGTGGTTCCTCCTCCACCTTGGCTTTATCTCCTTTAGCATCCTTGTCAGCCTTTCTCTTGGGCACAGTGGTGAAGGCTGCAGGATGCAGGCAGTGGACGCCAGGATACAATGGTGCTTGGCTTTGGTTGGTCTGGGGGGTGGGTCATTTCTTGTCTTTTCTTCACATTGCTTCCTTTATTTAATTTATTTTTATGTGTTACTGAAGATCGAACCCAGTTCCTCACACATACTAGGCAAGAGCTCTACCACTGAGCTACAACCCCAGCCACTCATCTATATTTAATTTTTTAAAATATCTTTAATTTTTGTTTTTTTTTAATGTGGTGCTGAGAATTGAACCCAGTGCCTCACACGTGCCAAGCAAATGCTCTTCCCCGAGCTACAACTCCAGCCCCCCTATATTTAATTTTAATAAATTAGGATGTTATGATACTTTGCAATTTGAGGGGTGAGAGTTTTGAGGGTTTTGTTGTTTTCTTAAGGAGTCAATAACAGGTTTATCTTCTAGAGGTGCCAGGAATTTTCCATATGGCCAGCACAAGCATCATTAATCAAACTGTTTGAATAGAATATGTTTTTCTGCTTCAGTTTCATGTTGGACTATGGCATTTTTACATTCTACATATTTCCTTCAAAGGATTAAATTAACCCTCATTTAAACTGAAGTTCTTCTTACTCTGTTCTCCACAATATTCCTTGAAAATGTCAAGAAAACTTTTATGTCTTTTATTGAATGATGATTAAAAACTCAGCTTCAACCTAAATTCAGAAATCAGGCCTTTCCTTTTAAGTTTAAGCTCAATTACACCTCACTGCATTGGTTTTCTTTCATTAACCATTTTTAAGGTAATATAATGACTATAAATGAATTCTAGTACTTTTTGAATCAAGCACACTAAAAGCTCTAAATTAAATTTGTCTCTAAGTTATTTTAGAAATATACATGCTATGGGCTGGGGATGTGGCTCAAGCGGTAGCGCGCTCTCCTGGCATGCGTGCGGCCCGGGTTCGATCCTCAGCACCACATACCAACAAAGATGTTGTGTCCGCCAAGAACTAAAAAATAAATATTAAAAAAAAAATTCTCTCTAAAAAAAAAAGAAATATACATGCTAATTTCACTTAGGAAATAATTCTAAGTTTTTGGAATCTTTTTTTTTTTTTGGAATTGTCTTCAGAATCAATTTGTCAACCACACAGGGCAATCAAGGTATTTTTTAAAATACTTTTCAGTTGTCGTTAGACCTTTATTTTATTTATTTATATGTGGTGCTGAGAATCAAATCAGTGCCTCACAACATGCCAGGCAAGTGTGCTACTGCTGAGCTATAGCCCCAGCCTCTCAATCAGGATATTTATAGTTACAGGAAGGAGTTGCCTTTTCTCAGCTCAACAGTTTTCCCTTATGTCCTAGATGAAGCCCACATTTCATCCTACCTAGTGCTTACCATTCCTATCCAATCTATTCTATTCTTCTCTATTCAGGTCTCTCATCTGAGAAACTCCATAGACAACAGGAGGAGGGGTAGAGAATCCATTGTTCCCAGCCTGGTGTGAGAAGCCTGTGAAAGGACAGCTGTGTAGGTCAAGGCAAGGATCATGCAATGGTCTGTCTGTTCCAGTTCACTGTAAATTAAGAGTCATGGAATTTGTACTAGGGTAATCTGCCTTTCATAAATTAGTTGTCTCCTTTCTCAGGTGGAAAAAGAAATACAGTAGAATAAGTTAAAATGTATTTGCAGTTCTAGACAAATATAAACTGCCACCTAAAGAGTTTCTGTCACTAATCTCATTCTCTTAATCTCTACAAGATTTTTGTCAAGAAAAAATAAAGACAAAACTCATTAAGGCTAAGTTTAAGACAGAAAAAAAAATCAAAACTTTATGCTAAGTTCCATCCAATCATCTTGGATTTCCAAAATTCTCTATTTGCCTTTGTTGATGAAACATCCATATTAATCAAGTTCTAGGTTTTTCCCACCTCTAAGAAAATGTTATACCTTGAGACTTTCTTCTTTTACCCTATAGAAAGATTGCTAAAAATATTCTTTTATTTATATGTGGATGATAGATTGTCATTTTTCCAATAAAACTTTATTTTTTTCTGATTACATGCAAATTTTTAAGAATCAAATACAAAAACTATAATAGAAACAAAAAGTGGAAAGCAGGTATCTGAGTTTATGAGTCCTAATGTTCTGGAATAGGATCGAGATAGGGGCTGGAATTGTGGCTCAGCAGTAGAGTGCTTGCCTAGCGTGTGTAAGGCACTAGGTTTGATCCTCAGCACCACATTAAAATCAAGGTGTTATATCCACTTAAAACTAAAAACAAAAATATATTTTTTTTAAAAAAGGGATCGAGATAAAGTTTAGGCTTTATAAATAAAAATGTAAAAATTTACATAAAAATAAAATGTGCAACTGCAAGTTTGAAACAAAGCATGAAATCTGACAGTAGGAAAAGTGAAAGTTGCATTTAAAAAGGCAAGGTAAATAATAAAAATAAGGCAGAAAAAATAAAAGTATACCAGCTAGTATTATTAACTGCAAGAGAGTTAAACTCCCTATGATGAATAAACACTTTTTTATAGGCACTTAAATCTTTTTATAATTATAATATAAATAAGACTCAAAGCATCTTATTTCCAATGGGTTAGAGCTGATCATCAGACACATTGCTACCCTGTGCTACACAACTGCTTTCAAACATATCTAACACTACACAGGCAACAATGGAGTATGTCACTTTCTGAAGGGTACCCTCTTCCTCTGGTCTGAAGTACAATGTGGAGTTTCTGAGATGTACGAGCAGTGAGGAAAGAAACTACAGTACCAAAATTGTCTTTTCTGTACTGTTATTTGAATTGCTTCTTTGAACATTTGTTA